GGCGGAGCACCCTGGAGAACTGGGGGGGGGGGGAGAGGAAGCTTTCACCAGGCAAATAGGACCCACCTCTTGTGATACCCACTTCTCCTCACTACTGATTGATTGATTGAATGAAACATCAGTAGCCCACCCTACGTTGTGAGATCTCGGGGTGGGTGGCAGAGCCCGACAAGGAAAGTTAAAAACATAGATTTTAATGTTAAAGCCAAAACATTAGAACTCGGCACAGGCTAAAATGTTGAACCTTCCAAAGGTTCTGATGCACAAACATGTTTTGGCTTGGCACCAAAATGATGCCAATTCTTGCTCAGGCTAATGGGAATTCTTGCTCCAACCACCTCTGAAGGTTACCCAGTACCTTCAGGATTAAGCCCTGTTTAGGCTGGGAGAGCTTCAGTCCACTGAATTCTAGAGCTGGGCAACTATAAAAGACTACATTTGGGGTGTGTGTGTGGAGGTGACTGACGACAAGCCGACCCATTCCAAAGCAAGGCTGGCTGTTTGATAAGACCTGCGTCGTTCACCCCTTTGCTCCCCACAGAGTCATAGGCCAACTCATTGCAGAAAGATGGTGACACACACGTTCTAGAATAGCTGCATCCCCCCCCACCCCCAAATTATTTGCCAGCCAGGAAGTGCAATGATTTGGCTTCTTACAGTGCTTGCTTTATGAAGGAACCTAGGATTATAACCATAAAATTACAATTTACTGTTCTGGCCTACAACGCTCACAATCCTTGACTTTGCTAGCTAGGGATTCTGGGTGTGGTAGTCTCAAGGTTTCCTCCAGTTTGGCATAAAAGCCCCCGAGAGAGAGAGAGAGAGAGAGAGAGTTCTTCTGGAACGAGGAGGCCAAGGGTCCCCTCACCTGGTCTTCCTCCCCACCGCCCTCTTCTCCGTAGTAGAAAATGTTGTCCCGGGTGTCTTCTTCGGGAAGCAGCAGCGGCTCCTTCACCACCTTCCTCCTCCTCACGAAGAGCAGCAGGAGCAGCAGCAGGACTGGAAGAGGAGAGGAAAAAGACAGGACTCAGCCGGGGCGTCTGCCAGAGGAGCCAGGAAGGAAAGGACGGGCCAAGACGTAGAGTCGGTTGCCTCGGGAAGCCAGTGGAAGAACACCACGGGGTGGCCACCCATTGTTTCGGCCCACCATAAAAACCCTGGAGCCTGAGAAGTCTTACTTCTGCTTCCCGAGCCGGCGAGGTGCAA